AGGTGCCCTGAACTGTATGCTTTAAAATGAAGAATTAAAAAAAATTTTTTTAATGTTTATTTATTTTTGAGAGAGAGAGAGACAGAGCATGAGCAGGGGAGGGGCAGAGAGAGGGGGAGACACAGAATCCGAAGCAGGCTCCAGGCTCTGAGCTGTCAGCACAGGGCCTGATGCAGGGCTCAAACCCACAACCCGTGAGATCATGACCTGAGCCGAAGTAGGGTGCTTAACCGACTGAGCCACCCAGGCGCCCCTAAAACGATGAATTTTATGTGAACTGCACCTCAAAAAATAAAGCATCACTTTGAGGAATCCTGGGAGTCCTATTGTTTAATGCTTAAAATCTGAGGCTCACAAGTGGAAAGCAATTGCAGACAAGGTCACACTCTTTTCTTGCTTGGATTCTCACCCTCAAGTACTTGTCTTTTCTTTTTTTTAAGTTTATTTATTTTGAGAGAGAGAGAGAGAGGGAATGAGAGTGAGTGCACAAGCAGGGGAGGGGCAGAGAGAAGAGAGAGAGAATCCCAAGCAGGCTCTGCACCGTCAGCACTGAGCCTGACACGAGGCTGGAACTCACGAACTGTGAGATCATGGCCTGAGCCGAAACACCTAACTGACTGACCCACCCCAGGTGCCCCAAGTACTTGTCACAAGAAAGCAACCACTCCTAGTTACTGAACATTTGTTATGGGACCCTATTTAACACTTTCTGTGTGTGACCATAATATACAGGCTTCACCAACACACCTGTCAGCAGCCACTGCTATTATCTCCGTTTTATGGAGGGGGAAACTGAGTCCCAGAGAGGGAAGCCACTTGTGCCTGACGTCCCATAGCTAGGTGGGGTGACACTGAATCCAAACTAACCACATGGCAGTGTGTTTTCCAAAAATAGCCACAACAAGTTTCTGGCAACCACACGCTCTTCCAGAATTATGTCATTCCCCTATCAGAGGTGGAGTCTGTGTTCTCTCCCCTTAGCCTGGGAAGGCCTCTGTGACTGCCTGGACAAACAGAATATCACAGAAGCAATGCTGTGTGGTCTCCAGGACTAAGTCCACACAGGCGACAGCACTTCCTCCTGGCGCGAGCTTGGGCTCTCGCTCTCTCTCTCCTTTAACTCACTTGGGAGCCCTGAGCCACCGTGTAAGTCAGCCCTCCCGAAGCCTCCAGGCTTGGAGAGACCTTCTGGAGAGGTCCTGAGACTACATGAAGAGTGGGAGATGTCCGGCCAGTCTCCTGGTGTTACAGCTCCAGACTGTAACAGCCATGACCGACTCTGGACCCACCCAGCTGAGCCTTGTCCGAATTCCTGACCTACAAAACCCCCGAGAGATAATAAATGATTGCTGCTAAACATTGGGGCAATTTGTTACGCAGCCACAGATAACTGCTGCAACTGGTACACTATGCCCCAGAAACAGCAGTTGCTATGGGCTCTGGGCTTCTCGTATCTCCATGCTAGACCCCAGCCAGCCATAATCAGTACTGACTAATCAATCCTGACATGCTCAAATTTATCTTTCTCCCCCAGTTCTGAGATCTGGAGTTGTGCGTACGAGTGAGGAAGTTGGGAGTACTAACTAGTTTTGGGGGTTCAGAGCTCCTGGAGTGGGGATTTCTGAAATACGAAGGAATCCTTGTGGGGGATACTGTTAGAATCTGAGAGGGATGCATGTTGTTTTACTTGCCCGGTATCCATTCCTCTTGCTTTTGATAACAGCACCCTGGATTCCCTTTGGGGAGCTCCCCCTCAACACTGGGTATGTCAGGCTGTGTGCTCCAGCCTCCCCTGACCAAGGGGTGGGCAGTGACCCATGCCAGGCCAATCCCATGCCCTCTTGCTGGAATTTTAACCCACGACACTGGGAGGCTGGATTCATTTCTGCAGCAATGCAGTGAAAGGAACTGTCCCCTGACGTTCTGTCCCCAGGCTGCCCAGCTCCCTGACCTTTCTGATGCTTAATGCTCTGATTGTCCTTCGATTCTGTGAGATGCCTCCTATCACACTATTCTGGATTTACGTTAGCCAGATTAGTTTCTGTTGCCAGCCACTGAAGACTGGCTAATGTACGCAGCTGAGACTGCCTTCCTACCAAGTTGGGTGGGGTCTGAGGTCAGGGTCCAGGGAATAGGACAGAATAAAGACTATATTTTCCACCATTTTTTTTTTTTTTTTTTTTTTTTTTTTTTTTTTTTGCAGCCAGGGATGTCCAATGGGATGTAATTATTCTGTGACTCCCCAAAAGGAGAGGGCGTGCCCCTCTTCATGCCTCCCTCCCTCATGTGGCTGGAATGAAGATGTGAAGGCTGGAGCATGTGCACCCATTTTGGATCATGGAGGGGAGGCCACAGCCCTTGATGAGCGGAGAGAAGCACACCAATCCTGCACTGCCTGCCTCTGGGGGTTTTGTGTCAGAGCCTCAGAATCCTAACTGTGAGACTGTATCACAGAAGACGGTCCATTTGTGGCTTTCATCAGATTCTCAGAGGGGGCCTTCACCCCCTCAAATGTAAAGAACTGCAAACACAATGAATCAAGGCTGAAAGAAGCAGGAGGACTTGGGGGGGGTATCTTTGAGAAGGGCTGGAAGGAGCCTGCTGGGGGCAGGAAACGCTCTACAACTTGACCTGGGTGGGGTTTTTACATAAGCCAGAATTTTACGGAGCTGTGCCGGGACCACCTGTGCATGTTACTATATGCATATGACCCTCGTAAAAAAGAAAAGTAAGAGAAACATGAAGAACCACTGATAATGAGGAGGACGATAACTAATGTTTCCCCGAGCGCTTCTGATGTCTGGCCATCATTCCAAATACTTGGTATTAACCCACGCAAGCTTCCCCATAATCCTCTAAGTTAGGAGCTGTGAGGACACAGGGCATGGAGAGGAGAGGGGAGGGGAGGGGAGGGGATAGGAGGAGAGGGGAGAGTGACTGGCCCGACTCCAGGGAGACAAGACTCAGCCTGGCTTCCTCCCAGTGATCCTTCCTCCAGTGATACTCACAGAGTCCTTGAGTGCCAGGAAACAGTGGCAGATCCATCGGCGGGTGGTACCGTCACGGCAGATGTAGGAGAAAGCCTTGTCCAGGTTGCGGTCAGGGGCACAAAAGGAGACCTTTTCGATGGTCTGGTCTACTAGCAGGTCCTGGAAGGTGGCCAGGGAAACCAGGAGAGGAACTTGAACTATCTTTCACGTACTCATTCAGCACTCCCCTTAGCGACTACTCTCTGTCCTGTTCCGCACGGGGTGGGGACCCTGCACCCATTGAAACAGCAGTGGGCCCTGCTCGCATGCACGGGGCTCCCGGCTTAGTGTTGGAATCAGGCCCATCACCAGACAGAGGCACAGGCGAGGGGCCAGGGCCGGGGTGGGGGAGGTGCAGGGACCTGTGGCGGTCAGGAGCGGGTGCCTGACACAGCTTGGTGAGGAACCAGGCAAAGCTTCCTGGAGGAAGTATTTTTTTTTTTTTAATGTTTTATTTATTTTTGAGAGAGAGAGAGAGAGACAGACAGACAGACAGAGCACAAGCGGGAGAGGGGCAGAGAGAGAGGGAGACACAGAATCCAAATCAGGCTCCAGGCTCTGAGCTGTCAGCACAGAGCCCAACGCAGGGCTCGAACCCACGAACTGCGAGATCATGACCTGAGCCGAAGTCGGACACTTAACCAACTGAGCCGCCCAGGCGCCCCTGGAGGAAGTATTAACCAGGCAAAAAGGCAGGGAACAGTCTTTCAGGGTAAAGGAACTGCGTGTGCAAAGGTGTCCATCCCGTTCAGTTGGTAACCTGACTCTTGCCCTGTGCTGCTGCCTCCTTGGGCAGTCTCTGTGCAGGGAAGTCGATGGTGAGCAAACAGATGCTCAGGTCCGGGATGCTCCCGTCTGGCTGGGAACACGGACAATAAACACAGAACAGCTAACATCCACTGATCTGAGCACATATGCTGCCCCAGGGACAGTTACACGGCACGCATACACCTTCTCACGTAAGGGTAGGGGCCATGTTTATCCACATTTTACAGATGAGGCAACTGAAGCACGGAGGGGTTGAACCTCACACTCTGGGTCACCCCGCAGATATGTGGGTGAGCAGGGATGCGAGCGAAGGTGACTGCTCCACACCCACTACCTGCGCCAGCTCACAGGTAACGGTGACTCGGTCCTGAATTACGACCACGAGGAGTGCCAAGATGCTGCAGGAGCACATGGCCTAGAAGGTCCGGGAGGGAGGGACATCATGGGGGTGGGTGGGAAGGTGTGCTGAGCCCCGGTTCAAGCAGGGTGAGGAGAGGGGGCCCACTGGGGCCCACTCCCACCCCCACGAGCTTCCTACCTTGGTCTTGTCATCCACCACTCGGAGCCCATCGGCTGACACCCAAAGAACGGACTTCACGGACTTCCGGCCCATCTGGGGGTGGGGGAGGAGGAGAGAGGGCCTGGTCAGGGCTGCCTCTTCCGGTGCGGCCCTGCCCCCTCCCGGCCCAGCCCTCACTCACCGCCTTCAGCTTCTTCACAGCGTCTTCACACACGTGCATCCCCCGGGACTCCTCCACCTCCACGTGGCCCAGGTACTTGGTGGGGAGGAGACAGGAGGACAGGAAAGCAGCACAGTAATCAATACCGCCTAGTGTTTCCCGAGCAGCTGCCACATGTCACCCAATGTCCCCTAGCCCATCACACATATTAACTCACTCACGGTGCCGCCACTCTGCGAGGTGGGTCCTCTGTTCCCATCCCAGATACACAGATGAGGACACTGAGGCTAGCGAGGAGTTCTGACTCCCATCTTGCCTCTATTCCTGGCCCTAACATGTTACTTCCCGTCCTTCTAGGGGCCAGAGTCTGCGTCTCCGGGCCTCAGCACCGGCCTGCCAACGACCCATGGGAGCTGGGGTGCGCTCACCCCAGCCTCCTTACCCCGTTGGGGGGATGGCTCTATTTCCCAGCATTTTCCCGATGACATCAAGCTCGAGTGCCCACAGCTGCAGGTTAGTGACACAACCTTTATTGGCTTTCTTTCCTTCCCAGCGTTTCTCACACTTCCAAATGGACCCCCCCGCCCCCTCCACTCCCACCCACTCCATGCCTGCTTCCAGGGGAAGGGAAAAGAAAACGGAGGGTTTATGACAATCGGCTGTTGTCACCCAGCCAGGCAAGGGACTAAGTTGGGAGTTGAACCTGAATCCTGCTGTCTCCCTCGCGGAAGCGCAGTGTGCATTTTGAAGAGTCGTGATGGTCTAACCCAAAAAGCACCTCACAGTAAAGGGCTGTGCAAATACCACAGGCTTTTGTGGCCTTCCGGTGCCTTTTGGAAATTGTGAGCTCCCAGAGGATGGGGTGACTCAAGGAAGAATGTCCCCTGGCTCCCCAGGTAATACCTTCCTGGTACAAGAGAATGCGTGTTGGGTTTTAATCCCAATTTTGAAGGGCCCAGGCTGTGGGGTTCTTTGGGGATGCGTCGTCTCTCGCATTTGGGCCAGGGCCTCAGCCACATCACCCAGCACCCCGGGGCCCCGGGACCGCATGCACACAGCCCCTGCCCGCGCCCCGCCCACTCACCCTGACTGGGAAGCTGCAAGTGCCCTTGCGCACCGCATCCTCATCCGCCTGCCACTGGTGGGGGCGCGACGCCTCCGGCACGTAGGCTGGTTTCCGCCGCCGCAGGCTCTGCCGTAACTTGTTCATGGTGCCCGCCCCTTCTGGTGACACAGGACAGGGGCGCGGGTCAAGGGCAGGGAGGGTCAGATAACACGGGATCTGGGTTACAGGGTCAGGGGGTCCCTGGGTCAGAGGGCGTGGCACTCAGGGAACATGCAGCGGCAGCGGTCAGGGGCCACTGGAAAACGGGGCAAGGGAAGGCAGGGGCGTGCCAGAGTCAGCGGTGGGGATTCAGAAGAAAAACATAGGGCAAAGGTGCATGGAGGTCTGGGATGGGGGTCAGGAGTCCGCTTTGAGCTGTCTGGAGATTGAGGACGTGGCAGTCCAGAGGCATGAGGATCCAAAGTAATGGGGAGTGGAGACATTGGAGGGCATGGGGGTTAGAAGGCATAGGGCTCAGGGGTCACAAGGCCAGGATTTTAGGGGTAGGAGGTCAGGGGCTGAGACAGTCAGAGGGCACAAGAGCTGGTGTTGCACGGGTCCAATGTGGGGGATGTGGGAGGCCTGGGTTCGATGTGGGGGGGACACAGAAGGTCCAGGGACTGAGGTCCAGAACCCGAGGGTGTGGAGGCTGGGGGCTCATCTCTGTGCCTCTGAGATGCCCTCCTCTGACAACTGTGTCTGGTCTAAGGCAGGAGCCCCTGGGGCGGTGTGCACCTGTAACCATCAGGGGAAGGGGCAGTAGTGGAGGTGGCCACAACGGAGGTGGGGACAGTCTGTGCTAAGACAGTCTCTCTGACTGATAAGCCATACGGACTGTCTCAGGAGGAACCCGAGAGGACAAGGAGGATAGAACACTGCCAGCAGATGGGGACTCTGTGTGTGTGTATGTGCATAACTGGTGGATTCCTGAACGTTGTCTGGATCTAAGCATGCAGAGATCATCTGTGAGCGTGTATTTCTGAAGGCTGAACATACAGAAGGACACTGGTCTGACAGTGGCTGTCTGCGAAAGTGTGTGTCCGGAAATGCTATCTGTGAGGGGGGGTCTGGGTCCAAGGGTGTGGTTGTTTCTGGAAGAGTAGGTCCCTGAAGGTTGTTGCCGAAGGGGATCTAAGTGCGAGAGTGGTTGTCCGTGTGTGTCTGGGAGCCGTCCCTGTGAGGATGTGTGCGAGCATGAAGCCATTGTCTTTCAAAGGCGTGGCCATGACCGTCCTCTTCCAAGCCGTGTGTCTGCCTGAGGGCGTGGCTGTGGTCTTCGATGGCGGTCACCTGTGGCAGTGTGCAGCTGTGAGGCTTGTCCAAGAGACCCTGCCCCTGGCCGAGAGTGCAGCGGTTGAGAACGTGGGGCTGTTGTCTGTGAGAGTGTGGGGCTGTTGTCTGTGAGAGTGTGTTCACGAGTGGTATTTGTGAGGGAGTGACTGATGGTCACTGAGTGTGCAGGGAAGACATTCGAGGGTGTCCCCTCATGAGTGTGATTGCGCCTCCGCAGCCTTTGCGGTGGGAGCAAAGGGACAGTTCCTCTGGTTGTGCCAGGCTGACCCACCTGCTTGCTCAGCCTTGCCCTGGCCCCAGCTGGTCACTCACCTGGCTCCGTCCTGGAGGTTTCGGGGGGCCCCAGGGCCCCACAGGGGGCTGGGGGCAAACGCTGCTCAGGCCTCTTGGGTCCGCCCTGCCCAAGGAAGGGAGGAGAAGGTGAGACACTGGCTTGGGTTGGGGCTCGGTCCCCTACCTCCCCACTTCTTTGGACAACAGCCAACCCCCCCCTTCCATCTCAGGCTCCCTGATGAGTGCCCTGGTTGTCATAGCAACCGTTACTCAGGAGATCAGCCACCTGGTAGCAAGGGCCTAGGAATGAGTAGGTGTGTTTCTGGGGGCACGTGTTGGGGATGTCCTGGTCTCAGGAGGCAAGGGGACGGTGTGAGGAGGGAGTGGCCTTGACCTCTAGACGCCTGTCCAGGCTACACATAAACATGCGGTCACATGCATGCATGCAACTCATGTCTACAGTCGCCCCAGGCACCTGGTCACAGCTCTCCACGTGTGGTCATACACAGGCACGACCACAGCCACACACACCGCATCACACAGATGCACATAAACAGTCGCAGCCACAATAACCATCTGGTCACAGATCCACGTTCACAGACACGGACGTTGTCCACGCGCATCTCCAGCCCCAGCCTGCCGAGGCACTGCCACAAACATCTGGGCCCATCAGCTACCAAATATGTGGTCACTTCTGTCTTCTCAGCCACATACAAAGAGCTGGGCCCAGGCAGAGGAGCGCACTCCCCACGACAGTCATGACTCCTCAGGCCCTCGCCCAAGACACTCATGTTGCAGACCCACGCACACAGAATCACGGCAGTCAGAGGGCACCCATTCACCCCAAGTCACACACAGGCACAAGTGCTGTCACACCTGACACACATTTGGCCACGCACAGCCACATCCAGTCACAGCCACGTGGGTTTAATCATCTACAGGCCCACAGCAGCACACGGGTACCCAGCCCCTCTGGTATCGGTCACACCAACGCACCGTTTTGGTCACGTGCTGTCACAGTCACACACACCCTGTCAGGGGGGCACACATGCGGTCATGGTATGAGCCACACTTACACAGATGGTCTTCCACACCCAATCACACACAGAGACACCGACGGCCATGGCCTACGCCTTCTAGAGACACAGGCACGCACACTCAAGACACGCAGGTAACCAGAGACAACCGTCCCTAAGGATGGCCACACTCAGGGACGGCCAGACAATTGCCGGTTCAGAGTCACAGCCATACACATTTCAGAAATGGCCACATGGGCAAAGTCACACGGCATCAGTGTCCACATTACCCAGCCACGTACCCTGGTCTCGATACAGTCACCCCACGTCCCGCCGTGTCACCCCATCACAGAGAAATGCACAGTCTCTCTTCAAGCGAACACACAAATCACAGGGATAAGCATGTGGTTGCATACAATCAGAGCCCCGTGTGGACAGACACACATCTCACACATAGAGACATCAGCACACAATTTCTACTTCACACATCACGAGCACACAGTGATGAAGAAAGAGAACTCAGAAATGCAGTGACCCAGGCACAGCTTTTATAGCTGAGTTGACACAGAAGACATGGTCCCTGAGAGAGCCATGTCCACAGTCAGGACAGTCACCCAGTCACCAAATCACACAGACTGAAACCCAGGCAGTCCAGCATGCACATGGGGACACACACACACACACACACACACACCTATAAATGCACAGAGTCACTTAGCATCAACACACAGAGCTAGATGGAGTCATTTATACAACCCTTGTTATACAGATGTGGCCATGAGTACACATGTGTAAAGTCACAGTGCCATTACACAACCACATACAACGTGACTTCATGTACAATGGCAGACACACACCCAGAATTGCAGGGAGACTTGTGTGTCACACAGACATATGCGTGACCCACATATACAATCAGTTACGGACACAACTACAAACACTCACAAGTCAGTGGGAGAGTGGCACATGGACATAGAGTCATAGACACAACTCCATGTACACAGTCCCAACTCCACCCACAGCTTGTCAGCCACACAAAACTCGCCCAACCCCACGCCCAACACACACACTGTCACAACACAGTTATAGCTACCAAAGCACACACCCAGGGTCACAAAAGATGTAATCACAGACACAACCACGCAGTCACAACCATGCACACACAAACACACACTAAAAAGTGACAGGGTTCTGCACAAGGAGCAGCTGTCAAACACACATAGTCGCACAAATGCTGGGGTCACAAACAGACACAAACGTGCACACTATGAGACACAACCACAAGCACAACACGCAGACACACATACAGGATTCCTCACAGTCACCAGCTCCAGCACACGCGCGCGCGCACACACGCGCGTGCACACACACACACACACACACACACCACAGTAACACAAACACCGGGTCACACTCTTAGCCACCTCCCGTCGCTTGCTTCCCCCCTTCCCCCCAGGTACCACACACAAAGCCACCCGTCACCCGTCACCGTCACCGCAGACGCTGCAGACAGACAGGGCTGTGCTGGGTCCCTGGGGAGCCGCCCCCCACCCCCAGCCTGAATCCTGAAGCCTGGGGGCCCATACCCGGGAGGGGGAGTCGGCGCATTGTCTGCGGGTGGCGCCACTCCCAGGCAGCTGGGCAGCCCCAGGGACCCTTGACCAAGCCTTTGGGGGTTGCCTAAAATTTCCCTATTTTATTCAGGCTAGGTGGGGGGTGGAGTCCCAGACCCAGGGACCTTGTTTTGAGAAGGGTCTATTCCTGGGACACCGCCCAAGGATTGGGGGGGGGATGCTGTGCCCAGGGTGTCTCTGAGGCCTGGGTACAGACTGTGCCTGGGATGCCCCCTAGGCCTTGGCTTGGTGGGGAAGCCATTCCCAGGGACCCCAGCCTCAAGACCTTGCCTAGAGGGTTGTTGTGCTCAGAGACCACCTCAGGGAGGGAGGGGTAGGGATTGCGTCTGGTCTGGAATGGCCTCCTGGAGGCCTTGGCTTGATGTGGGGGTTGTGTCCTGGACCCCATCCCCAAAACCTTGCCCAGGGAGTTGTACCTAGAATCTGTCCCCCTGTCCTTGGTTTTTTTGAGGGGCAGGTCTACGTCCAAGATCCCTATCTTCAGGGCCTTGGCAAGAGAGGGCCTGTGCCCCAGACCCCCTGTCTCTCAAGCTTTGGCTTGGTGGGGGCCTGTTCTGGACCCCCCACCC